CTTTAATGTTAATTGTTATAGGTATATTAAATTATTGTAATTTGACTTTTTTTTCCTAGTTTAAAATTTTGAACATTGCCACCTGTGGGAACATGACGGTAAACATGTTAAGGCATCAATCTTCGTTAATATTGGTAAGCGTTACCTTTTTTTTTCTTCAGAAATAATTGTTAACATTTTTTTTTTTTTATAACATTAAACTACATTAAGATATAAATATGTAATACATAGGTTATTGCCTTATTGGTACACATTAGGGATGGGTCGATATCACTTTTAACCGATAACCGATAAACCGATATGTTATGCAGATTTAAATCCGATAACCGATGTATTCAAAACTTTGAATTTCAATCCAAAAGCATGAACCAATATTATAAAATACCCGATAATACTTACCTATAAGCACTAAGTAGTATAACTAGTAATACTGTAATAATCAATATTATTATGTATTAATATATTATATAATGATTAAATTAAATAGTTACTAAATATTAAATATTAAATAATAATTAATTATTAAATTATATTATATAATTAATATTTAATACAAATAGAGTTAACACAGTTGTACATAAATAACAAATATTAAATATTAAATAACAATAAAGTTACAAATTTAAAATGAACACTTTTCTTTCTTGTTAGTTGATAATAAATTATAACTTATTAATTTAAGTTATACATTTATAAGTTTTAACTATAGTCTATAAGTATAATTTTAACTTTTTAATAAAACAAATAAAAATTATAATCAAAAACAAATCACATAATAATTAAAAAATAATAATTTTCCCTTTTCAGTTATTAAACATTCCTTGTTTAAGTCTTTTTGTAACAATTAAAGTGTTTAATTTTTAATACAATCAAATATTTAATCTATGTATGATAAATTGTTTTTTTTCCATATCGGATCAAATATCGGTTTTAAAAAAAAACCGATACCGATAAAACCGATATTGCCAATATCGGCCGATAATCGATATCGGTTTATATATCGGCCCAGCCCTAGTACACATAAATAATATTCAATAAAAAAATTAACGCATTTTTAAACAATATTATTGTCTTAATATTTGATTACTATTTTTCATTTCCTCATTATTATTCAAAACAATGGTCAATACAATGTACCTATTTTTTTTTATATACATAAGAGATGAAGGGTCTTTAGCAAAATATTTACTTTAATGTATCTTTTTTGAGGAGGTGTTCGCTTTTTTTACTAAATATATTTAAGTAGTTTTTTTTTTTTATCTTGTTTGAAGGAAAATATGAAATTGTCATTAAATTGACTATTTTACCATAGATAATATATATAATCTATGTATTTTATACCTACCCCTTAAAYACTACATTGCTTACATATAAACCAACAAAATATATTACGTCAATATAGATATTTTATTACACTTACAAATKTTGATAACGGACAAACACAAAATACTAAATTTATCATAAATAATAAAAAAGACTGATGTGGTAGGTACTTAATATCATTATAAAGTATATCTAATCCCTCTTAGCTATTAATAATAATAGAAGTAGTCTTGCAGTTTGATAAAATAATATAAACAGATTTAAACATGAATTCAGGTATATATATATAATGTATTAGTAATTAGTAATTACATTAAAAATACAATGATATTGTCGTTGACCAATTTTAATATTATTAAATAGCTACAGTACAATGTTTATCGATTACAATAAGTTAATAACTAAAATGTTTACAAACATATTGTTTATTAATAAATAAATTATACAGATTGAACGTTCAAGAAACTATTGTCCTTGCTTTTTAATGTCCACAGTCTCGTACTTGGTTTATATAGAAGAATATTTTTTATACAATGAAAATAATGAAATGTTTTCATTGTCATTAATTGTTCAGTTTGTTTATTATAAATAAATTATAAACATAACCATTTGTTCAAGTTGCAACTTTCCATTTATAACAAGAAGATTTTAATTCAAAATCCACAATCTATATATAATGTTACAATTACAAAACAAGTTTTAACAATTCTAAGTGTGATAAGTTGTAACACCTATATTATGTCTTTTGAACACAAATTTAACATCTAATGACATAAAATAGAACTTAATAATAATGTAGAAGTAGTAATTACCATATRGAATTATTAAAAATATATAATATATTAATTTATAAGAAAATTTAAAGGAGTTTGTTAAAACAATTATATTTCCATGTCAAAATACATTTCACTTTTTTTTCATAAAATAAATTGTTCCTTAAAATTATTAWTTCTATTTAATACATTTTGTAATTGTATAGTCAACTGATACATTCTTAACCCATTTAATACATAAATTTTATTTATTTGCGCAAAATAAAAAAAAGTTTGGAATGAATAGTCTTATATTGAAAGAGAGCATTCAGTTAAATTAATATGATGTCAGAAAAATTTTTTTTCTAACAAACAACATATAAATAAACAATAAAATTAATTTTTATAACTAAMCAAAATGATTATCAAATCATTCAACTAAAACATAAACAAATTAGTTAACATTCTTATTACTTTGATACTTATTTTTTAAACTTTAATACTGATGGTAAAATAGCAAAATATATACTTTTAACAAGAAACTATAATTATATTAGGCACGTGATATTTATATTGTTATAATGCATATTTTAATTATTAACATTATGAATTGTATTAATGATTTTGTTTATCAATTTTATCAATTATTTAATCAAATTTATTCTGAAAAGAAGGCAAAATGTGCTATAACATATTACATATAAAAATTTGAGGTACAATTTTCTCAATTGTATTCTTTTATAATATAAATAAAAATATGTTATACGTTGTGTACAACTGCATAAACTACAATAGTTTATTAACTAATTATATTATAAATCACGTACAAGTATAATAGTATATATGAATATAATTGCAATTTAAGTAAGAGATCTAATTCACATAATTAAAAATAACTGTATAAATAAATGGTATTAATATTTATACATTGGTTATTTTACAATAAAAACATAAAAAACATTTATAGATAGTCAAAATAGTCAAATTAATGTTACTTATAATTTTCATTCAACTTGAAAATTTAAATATTATGCAAGGTAAATAAATTATATCAATCAACTACTATATTCATGATTATATTAAGAAACTTCTATCACATTTAACATTAGACAAAAGGTATTTTAAGATTTGTTCGATAGAAAATAAAAGAAGTATAGATTATTGAAGTAATGAAGTCGTGCAATACATAAGGAATTGTGGACTTTTTTATATATTATATTGTAAAATGATTTAAATTAACATAGGTGTTAATAGTTGCTTACATAGTTTTTGCACCATTTTATTAATATATAATTTAAATTAATGACTATTGTTCGGATATAAATTATATAATTATTGCATGTTATTTCAAATGCTGGATTTAGGGTACATCTGAGCATATTGCCAAGTAAAACATTATATACGGCATACATCAAWACAAGAGGTATAACTAACATAAATGTAAAGTAGYACTGCTTATGATCATAGAGTAGTCACCATCTATATATTCAATCACAGCCAATGTAGATGTCACTTATACAACAAAAGATTAGTTTTTAGTGGACACCGCATTAAACATACCATCTGTTTCTACAGTAGGAGTGGCCATATCATCCATCACCTGGATTGTTGTAATTTTGTTAGAAATAGAAGTAGGAGATTTCTTTGTTGGAGTATCGTATGGCACATATATGCGAAGCACGTCAGGCTGAGGACTCACACATGTAACATCTGATCCAGCATCATCATTTTGTATACTTTGTGGAGACACTGTTGTCGTGGCTGCAGAAGTGACACTAGTGTCCACCAATGAGCGTCTAGAACTGTCTCCAACAATTGAGCTAACATCGTCCAAACTGTTTTTACCATTTGTAATAATTGAACCTGAAAACATTTATTATTTATAAATATAAGTATATGTATTCATTGCAATGTATTTAAAACATAGATTATATTACAATTCAAGTCATTTAGAATTTAATTTTAATTTGTTAATAGGGGTTGACTTTCTTTTGGTCATTACTAAGAATTTAAACAATTTACAAAATTAGTAAGATATGTAAAACATAATTTTAATTTTGTCTTACTCACCTTGAATAGGTATAATGAAGAGAATATCAAAATAAACAAACCAATTTTTACATACAAATTTAACATGCAACAGACATTTTTCACAGATTAAATCTGCCAAACACATCTACTAATTAAAAAAAGAAAAAGTGCTATTACAAAATAATAAGTAATAATAATATGATTTTCTTACAAATTAATTTTTTTACAAATGTGTTGTAAAATATCTTCCAATGAAACAATATGTATTAACGCTTTGTTTGCATTGAAGCAATTTAAATCATAATGACATCAAAATACTAAATGCCCAATATTTTAAATAAATTGGCTAACTTCAGGGTATCGATAAATATTAATTACATTTAAAACAAAACAAATAATTAAAAAATACTTTTTTATTTATAAAACAGATAAAAAATAAATATTTTGTACATAAATTTACAATAAATAAATAAGCCTAAAGAATAGTTATGAAAAAAAGTTTTGTTGTAAATTTGAACTCAAAAATAAACAATTAATAGAAATAATAATCTTTTGTTTGTAATTTAAAATTAATTGCATTAAATTTTGGAGTTAATAATTGATATGCATAATATAAACAACTTAGGACTATTGATAATTATTGTTTTTCAATAGCCATATCTTTCAAAGAAACAATACTAATTCCAACAATATTCAGATAAATAGATATGCGAGCTATAATTTAACAGTTTAATACACATTTAACAAAGCTAACAACACATCTGTTTACAGTATTTATTTAAATAAAATGTATAATAAATAATTTTTAACTAAAATGAACAAAAATATTAAGGTTATTTTACAAAATGCAATAGGTATAATTTAAAAATAATAACTATAAAAAATATGTTTAAAAYGTCTACAAATTAATAACTACCACGACATGTTGATGCTGTATTAAATAAAATGTTTAACTAAAAAAAATGAAAGCGATTTTTTTCTAATAAGGTATCTTAAATCTAAATGCAAATAACTTTATGATATGTGCTTTAACATTAAATGGAAGACTAGTTTCTATAGACACCATAAGTTTAATTATATATCATCAGGCAAGTGTTCACAATCTAGTCCACTCACCTTGGCGTTGTGAATCCTGTTCTGGTRAACTATGAAGTTGATCAGAGTTGATAGGTTTTCTTTTTTTTTCCACTCCATTGATTTGAGGCTGAAATAACATTTTTTCAAATTATTATCATATTTTACTATACTTTTTTTAAATTCGTATTTTATTGAAAAATAACGATTCATTAAAAGTTTTACCTTTCTAACTGGGATATCATCAGGATTAAATATTCCAAGCTCTCTTTTCAACCTTTCGTTTGGAGATGGCTGACCAGCACTGTCAAGTTTGTATTTTTTCAGTTCAACAAGACATTCTTGAAGTTTTTCAATTGTTTGATCTGCTGTATGTAAATAATTTTGTTCCAGTTTTACCTATCATTGACAAATGGCCTTTAAATATGTTTATAATTAAAAGAATACAGAAGTTATAGTTTTACATCCTGTCCTATGTGAATCCGGCGAGTGCGAACTAATTCTATTCTGACCATGCTATTCCGCCTAAGTGCGGTGCATCCAATGCGGTGAAATACAAGCTGTTTTGATTTTTGCTGCACTTGCCGGTTTCACACAGAAAGACCAGACAAATGAAGAATTAATACTAGTTAATCATATGAAAACCATTATAAATATTATGTASATAATAAATAGTTTAAGATTTACTTCTCTGAAAATTCCGAAAATAAATATTTAAAAAAAAGTTATTACATTTCAAATTATTTTAATCCAAAAATTTTGTAAAAAATTAACTAGTCAACTAATATAAGCAGTTTATTAAAAATTAGGTATTTAAGTTACTTAAATTTTTTTTTTTTTAAAACTATTTTATACTATGTGAAATTTTAACAGAATAAATATTATTTTAATTGTCAGGTTACTCTGTTATACCTAGTATACATATTTATAATACCTATATGGCCATTATAAAAGATAAAACAAATTTCTTGTAAATAGTATCAAATAACTTAACAATGAATAATTGTTCTGTAAATATTTATTTTATTTATTGTTGACAAATTATCAACCAATCAAAGACAATTTTAATATAATTGATTAAAAATGAATTTAAACATTAAATATGTAAATAGTAAATCAAGATAAATTGTTAAACTTTGTACTAAAAATAATACAAGCATAGACTTATTTTAAAACATATTTCATGCAATACAATATTTGGAATAAAAATGTTACAATTTTTGTAACTCACCTGCAAAAAATTAAGTATATCATCCATTCCTAAAGCATATAGCTGGTGGCGGTGTAATTTTAATAAGCAATAGGCCATAGCTGATAATATTTTGTCGCCTTCTAGTAAAAATATATCCCACACTCTTAAAGTCAATTTGAATGGTATCTTAATATTGAAACAAATTATAATTATTTTAAAATTTTAATACTTTATATTAAACCATAAAATTACTAAAATAGATAAATCAATTAATTTACATACTCTGTCTAAAAAACATTGGAAAAACCACTTTAAAGTATATAATCCAGTTTCAACTCCATTTTTATCCAAATGTTTTTTTAATTTTGGTAATAACTTATTCATTATTTTATCATGATGATCTTGAAACCGTATTAACTTAGGAAAACCAGGAATGAAAAAACCTAAAATGTTCAATACAATTGTTATTTAAGATTTTTATAAAATTGTTCATATAATCATCAGAGGTTCTCAAAATTTATTTTGGCATACCACTCATGTGTATTATGGATTTTTCATAAATCACTAACGACTAAAATTAGAACTATTTAACATTTAAATATATGTTGAACAGTAATTATGTATACAAATAATAATTTATACTCTGTCCACCGTTAGAACTCACCACACCCCGACAAAAATCGGTTCTTCCACGCATCCTCTCGCAATACTGCTGTAGTCCATAACCGGTCTCATAACAGGTTGCTGATTCGRGATGCGCAGAATCAGTGGGTTTTCTTACTAGACAGACTCATAGAGTATAAAGATAGATTTATCAGTATATTTAGTACTTATTTACACAAACCCTCAAATACTATTAGATCCATTACAAACATTAGTGAAAATATTATTTCTGTACTACCATCACACTGTCTAATGTGTACCATTAGTGGTATGAAAATTACAGTATGAGAACCACTGATCTAAATTATTCATACTAGCAATCGACTTTTAATAACTATAAGATTATGGTAAAAAAAAAAAAACAATTCTGATATATCATAACCAGTGGTWGAAGTGGCTCAAACTAAGTTGAGAGATGCTCAACTTTTTATAATTTTTTTATATTAATATAGCTTACACACAGGGGAGATTGGAGGTAGAGATGAGTTGAGCCCTATACCTTATTTATAATACAATTTTATATACATATTAATATACGTTTTTGTTTTTGAGTTTGGTGTCTTAATTGTCAATGCATTTAAATTTTTATACATAAATAATTATAGTTTTAGTAAAACATATTTGCATATATACATAATTGATCTACATAGAGTTTACCAATATGTAACATAATATGCATTATATATTAGATATGAAAAAAAAATAACTAAACTTTTTTAGACATTACTATAGACTATGGCCTGTAATGACATATTAATAATTTTCAAATTATTGATTAATGAGTAATGACATTATTATTATATTGCAAAACAGTACTATCAAATAAATAATTAAATATTGTAACTTTTATATATAAAGGTTTTGTATTAATAGCTAATAAGTATAGCTATTGTTTATTGATACAAAATTAAGCTATGGGATTTAACTGTACTTTTAGTTGAGCAGTAAATCAAATCAATATAATGTAATAAAACATAAAAGAGTAATAACTCAAAAACAAATTATTAAACATACTCACTACGMATTTTTATATTGATATTTTTTTACAAAATAAATATTATATTATATAAAATCTTYCCAAAATGTAATATGAAAATCAATAAAATTATTTTTGCACAAAGCACAACTAAAAAACTTCATCAATTTGAAACATGTAAATATAAGATTTGATGTTTAGATTATTAGATTTAGACATCAAATGATTCAATTTAAATGAGTTAAAAATATTTAATTCATATCAAAAAAACAAAATTCTATTCTAGTAATATTTAAAAATCAAAGTAAAAAAATACAATTTTTATAAAAAACACCAATATAAATCGATAATCTTATTTGCATATAATTATTAGGGGAATTTGTGTTTTAGAACAAAATAAGTGGTGGGATGCCATTCCACCGTATCSACTCCATATTTTGACCACTGATCATAACAAAAATTAGCATAATGTTTATTTGTTTAGTAAGGAGATAAATAAATTAATTTATAGATTTTAATTTATGATAAGTCTACTGTTTATTTATATATTTAACTCACCGTGCATATAATACTTGCTATCGGAAATAAGAGTAGATAATGCCCAGAAAGCTTCTTCTTCACTTAAATACATCAACAGTAATGCTGCAATTTGTGACATTCCCTGGGTATAACCAATATCCAAATTATAGATACTATATGCAGACAATATATTAAATAACTCTTGTTGCTTGAAATTGTATCGTTTTCGAAAGTTGATATGTTCTCGATATGTTCGATTCACATCTAAATCAATTTGCCTCACATCCGGTGAATGCTCCCATGCCAATTCACACATATACTAAGTAAAACAAATGATTAGTAATTCTGCAGTCATAATATTTATTTAAGATTAAGTAACTTTAAACTTAAATATTATTAAATTAAAAATAACTAATAATTTAGTCTATCTAAATAATTTTTTATAATGCAAAATAGATTATTGAAAACAATGATAACTATCCATATCTAAATATTTTATACTAAATAATATGTAGTTACTTTGTATTTATTCTTCTGATCATCTGTGAGTTGATCAACACCCAATAGCTTGGCCCACACTTTTCCTCGTAATGAATTTGGAATGCCTTTGTAAATGCGTCTTTTCAGTTTGTCTCTGGACACACCATCCCAATTGTTGATCATTTTCAGCCATTTTTGTTCTCTGGTTACTTCGAGTTTTATCTCTTGAGGATCTTCTTTTTTTAACTTGGACTCATCGCTGAGAAATAAATTGTAAATAATTAGTACCAAACATTACCTATGGTAATATTGTATAGGTTAAAAGGCAGAAGATACATGCCTCACTATGAATCCAAATTTGTCAAGTTTGAAATAGTCGTTGATAGCGGGATCATCGACAGGATCTATGATCGTTCCATCTGTGGGTCCTTTCCTGTAAAGATCGACAATTCTCTCTCTCTCCTCGTATACTTTATCGGCTATCTCGTCCTCATTCATCACACCGACAAATGTTTCTCATGGCCGTCGCGCAATGTCTGCCACGACTATGGTGTATCGTTGCGTTTTCTGCTAGACGCGGAAAAAAGATGTTGCACGGTCATTACAGAAGAAACAATCATTCGTCAACAAAATCGAGATTGAGTACGTACATCTTACGCTGCAGTATCGTGCCGTGTTAGACGTCGACGAATCTGAGATGTCAGCAGCATTTTGCTATGTAGGCCATGGTAGGCAGCCGTACGTGAGGTGACGGAGTGACAACGACTGAACGATCACGCAAAAAAAAAATAAATAAATAAACCGTCCTAAAAATTCAACAACGCAGACGCACAGGAATTATACAGGATAGGGTCGTCGACCACTCACTCGTCGTCCGTCGACGCTGATATAAATGATATCACGGGACCCACACACACACACTCACACACACAATGTGCTACACTCGAAGTCTTCGAATGCGATATAAACCGCACCACTGCACCAGCCACTATAATCACTAATTACATATCTTTTTTTTATCCCCAGACTCCTTCCACTGTTACAACAACCGCCGACAACTCCATCATGCTTCTATGATAATGACCTATAATAATAATAATATTGTAATTATTGTATTATTATTTAATATTCACCATTGTTATTATTGGATTTGCATGTTTTGTGTGGTACAATAATATATAATATCTATTACTATCACAAAACAGATGAAATACCGAAATGTCAATGAAATTCAAGTCAAATAATCAAATACCATTGAAATTTTATCTACTCTATATAATTCTTTTATAATAATATAATATGTCAATAATAATTATTAATTGTCATATCGACACATTATTATGTTCGTCAAATGTCAATAGTTCGATGACAACCCGACAACCGTGAACCGAATAGCGACGCGTGTACGCCGTACGCGGTTTTGGACTTTGGTTCGGTGGTTCGGTCTTCGCTTATCGGTTTATTAAGTTTATTTTGTTTACTAAAACATAGAAAAAACCGGAAACTTGGTGCTACGTTCATATATGTACAACAACGCATGGACGCCGGACGATTTTCGTTGCCAACTTTTATCTGCTGATACGTATACACACTACACGGTGGTCGTGGTCATATTATTATTTTAATTTTTATATATAACTGTAGGGGGATTACCATCGGCCATCGGGAAAAGCCGACTAAAGAAGTAACGACAATAGAGGCGATTCATTCACCCTCCTGAAGATATTTAAACGGAACGGAATTCGCCCGTCGACGAGGTAAATCGGTTTTTTTTTTATCTATAATCACATTTTACTATGATTTACGGTTTTTGCATTTTGTTCTCGTGACCGGCGTTTCTTTTGTTTTGACCTCTTAGCTTTTCCGCGCTTCGTTTCCAGTTCGTTTTAGCGCTGTTGGTTTGAAAATCGAATCACTTTAAATCTCCGGTCGATTCCGATAAAAATGACGGACATTCAGGCGAAATCGAGTTTTGGCACGGCGCTGTTGAATCTGCACAGCGGTTACACGGATTCGCTGCCGGGGAGAGAGAAGCATATTGAGTGTTTGAAATCGTTCTTAAAAAAACACGTCCAAGACCACCGCTCKGTTTCTATGTACATATCTGGACCGCCGGGTACTGGCAAGACTGTGTCACTTCATTCATTGTTTGCCAGCGATTTGGTCATTGACAATTTCACCCTGGTGTACGTGAACTGTAGTATGATTAAATCAGCAAACCGTGTGTATGCCAAAATCGCTGAAATTTTAAAAATTGGATCTGGTACTCAAAGGGAATGCATTTCGACCATTGAGCAGTACTTAAAAAGCAAACACAAATCTATTCTCATGGTACTCGATGAAATTGATCAACTGTCGTCTAAAAATCAATCGATATTGTATCAAATATTTGAATGGCCTATCATTCCTCAATCAAATATAGTCGTCATTGGTATTGCAAACTCTTTGGATCTTACTGATCGATTGTTGCCAATGTTAAAGACTAAGGTTTCTTTACAACCGGAACTCCTAAATTTTCCACCTTATACGAAAACAGAGTTGGCTAGTATTATATCTCATAGATTAGAAAATGCTGGGGTTAAGGAAATATTTCCTACCAATGCGATTCAGCTTTTATCTGCTAAAATAGCTTCTATTCGAGGTGATATTCGTTTTGCATTGGATGTTACTAGAAGAGTTATTGAATTAGCAGATGATAAAGCTGACAAAAAAATTGAATTAATTGATGTGATAGCTGTGTTGAATAATGTGTATTCCACTTCTGGTGCACTCGATAATGAAAATGAAAATTCTGAAAAATTACCATTACAACAAGAATTAGTGGTTTGCGCAATATTATTGTTATTATCTTCTGGTAAGAAAAGTCAAGTTATTACCATAGGAAAAGTATTCAATGTCTTTACAACTATTTGTAAAAAACGCAACATTCAAGTAAGGGATCTAAGCGAATTCATAACCATGTGTTCATTATTAGAAACAAGAGGTGTAATCAAGATTCTAGGACAGAGTGTAAACAGATTATCCAAAGTATTGTTACTTTGGGATAAAAATGAAATTGATGATGTACTACATGACAAACAACTTTTGGTTGATGTCTTAAATGATAAATCTCTATTAATACAATGATATTTTATTTAAATCAAAATATATAGATTTTTTTCTTTTCACTATCTTTCAACATTTGTAGCAAATATTTTCACTGTTTTTACATTTGTAACTAAGCATTATCCATAGAAAATGCATTATTTTTATGTAATTTTTTTTATTATGTTTAGGGTATTTAATTTTATACTTAGATTGTTTACTTTTATAAATATCTTAGAATAATTGTATATTTTTTTAATAAAATCTTGTTTATTTTTATTCAYTTTTATTTTATTTTATTTTCTTTGTTTATAAAATAAAAAAAATAATACCTACATTTTTTCAATAGTAAGCATATTCTAACTTCAATGACACGTAAATACAGTTATGAAGTAATGTAAATTAATTTGGCCTGACTCAGTAACAGTTGAATAGGTCTTATAAATCATTCTGTACAGTTTTGAAAAAATGAAGGATTATGTTTTGCTTGGTTGTTGTCTAATTGTCTTATTGTACTTATACCATAGACCTAATATTTAAACTTGAACTACTATTTTTATTTAAAACGTTTCTTATAACAATTATGGTATATAATATGGTATATATGGTATATATTATCTCTCAATATATGTTACTGTCTATTATTATTATGTTTTGTACCCTAATTTTGTATTGAATTTTGTTATTTTTGTTTAGCACAATGACACTGTACAAGCGGTATGTGTCTCCAGTTAGCCCAGCAGTATATCCACACCTGACTTTATTATTGCTCAGCATTGGTGTGTTTTTCACGGCATGGTTTTTTGTCTATGAAGTTACTGGTACAAAGTATACCAGAAATTTGAAAAAAGAACTGACCATATCTTTTGTTGCTGCTCTATTTACCGGCTTTGGTATTCTGTTCTTATTATTATGGGTTGGAATATATGTATAATGCATTATTATTGTTATTATTATTATTATTATTATTATTATTAGATTTTTTCCTACACCTAATTTAAAGACATAATTTCGAATTATTATTATACGCAATAAAACAATATGAATACATACAATCTATATTATTCAGTATTTGAAATATGGATAAATGTATCTTKTTGTTAAACACTTAATATTTATATGTAAATACTGTGTAATATTAATTGAAATCCCTATTTTTGTCTGTCATGTCATCAATTGAAACTACTTTCTTTATAAACTAATTGTTTTCTTTATTAAAAATATAATAAATGTGTTCATAACATTATTTTCTATTTATTGATAGTATCGTCTGCAGGGGGGGGGGGCACATAGAGTACATAAAATTTAGATTAGAAATAAAAGCACTTTTTTATTGCATTATACATTTAATTCTTTAGAGAGATGATGGATGATGAATAACCCATATTTCAAGAGTATTTTTTAAATTTATGTTACATTAGTCTTGACCTTGAGTTACAATATTTATTGATATAAAAAATTCATTAATAGAACGTTTTATCCTTTTGTGTTATTTTTGTCTTACTTTTGCGTGATATATAATTATATACATCTGGCAGTTTCAATTTTGTGTTGTTCTTGTTAACTTAACTAATAAAGTTAATTAATCTACCATCAAACTTAAACATAATTACATTATCTGTGTTCTTTGGTTGGGTTTTTAAGATATTTTAATTTTTAATTAATTTTGAGTAGGGCTGGAATTTTAATGTGTTTTGGGTGATACTGATTAATTTTAAGTAATTATTATTTTAGTACATTTTCTTAGTTTTTAGTGGATTTTTCACCATGATACAAACATTTTTGCGATTAACAATAGACTTTTAAGTCTTAACCAACTCCCAACGGTACAAATAATGAATGATACAGCATGAGAAGTTATCGTTGGCATTGTTGGCAACATTTAACTATAACTAGCCTTTCTACTCAAATAATTGCCGTTATATATTATTAATTTTATTACACCATACTAATAACTAAATACATTACCATAGTAACATTTTTAATTTTTTTTTCCAATGATTAAGCTATAATAATTTAAATGGAGTTTTATAGTGCATTTTTGAGATTTTTTATGGTATTCAAATCCTATGCCCAATTATGAGTATGTTGTATGTAACATACTAACATATTGTTGCTTAACATATTATGCTGTAACATATGAGGCCGGAAATTAGTGGTGGGCTTTAGCCCAGGCCCCCTCCCCCATAGATAGTTATTACTTTATAATTACAGAAAATAATGAATGGAAATTGGAAATTATTGTATTCAAAATAAAATTTTATCTATTAATTAATTCAATTTGTCGTATTTAAAAAAAAAAAAAATATTGGTGTCCTAAAATCTCAATCAACTGACAAGAATGAGTTCAGCTGTAGAGGTTCTAAGAAAAATTGATTTTGAAAGTGTAATTGAAGATTTTGTAAAAATAAAAACATGAATAGTTGCAGGCATTTAATTTTAAATATTATTATTAAGTAAAATTAAATTAATAGATAGTATAGCCAGTATAAGTACTATTGAAAATATTGAATGTTATTTAATAAGCAAAATATATATTTTTTTGTTTATTTATTTGGGCTCCAGGTCCCCCACAAATCACAATATGTTCCGCCCAAGAGCTACCATATACCTAAATCCAAGCCTGGTAACATAAAAAAATATGTTCATAATTCACTAGAAATTCTTTTAATTTCAATTGGCTGGATAATATTAAATATTTATTGATAACATTATTTAAGAWAAAAAAAATYTTTGATTAATAATGAAGCAAAGTAAAACACGTTATGGATCTCTTCATAAATATGTTTGTAATACATAGTCTTGTTCTGGTTTTTGCTCTATATTTAAATACTTTGAATTAAATATATTTAGAATTGAAGTATCTGTCAATATCAACAATGGTTGTTTCATATTAATGAAAATATATCAAAGTACAATGGTTACGGCAGGATAAATTTACGATTACATTATTTACCAATATTGTTCACTCACACRGAAAAGTTCTTCCTCTGTCATAACTTTTTTTAAATTTTATATTGATAATCAATAATTTCTAGTGAATAAATGAAAAAAAAAAACATATATTGATGAAATGGTATTGTTTTTATGTACTCAAAAAATAAAAGCACTATGAATGCATTTATGATGAAAAATTACAAATTATGTGTTTCCCGCAGTAATACAATTCTAATGACAGAATACTTATTTTAATATTTTAAATATTTTGGAAATATACTAAGTACCTAATAAGCATTTAAAAATAAGAAATAAGTRTAATCCATAGTATTAGTGGTGTGGTGTCAACATTTTAAGTCATGACACARATAGTAAAAAAAATTAGCATTTAATAAATCAACCATAAATTTTTTAGTTGCAAATATTGATCAATTTATCTATTAATATTTTAATCATAAAAAAACAACTTTTAGCCTGAACAAATCATAAATTGGGCATGACCTGTTAGTCCAGTTAATTTTTGTAAAAGCAAGTATCTTAGGATGGTGGATAGTACTAGGTCTTCATAACAATTAAGTACACAAATTCAGTTTTTTTTTTTAGATTATAAAGTGATATATAGTGCTGGCGGTTAGAATTGAGAGCTAGGATTTAAAAAAAGATAAAAAATTGTATATTATACATAATTGATTAAGTTATATTAAAGCATAATAATATAAAGATATTCAACGATAGGTTATATTTTACAAATTCAACGGCATGAATCAAACTAAAAATATAATGGGTCAAATATGAGATAAGTAGCATCATTCCTTAGATACTTAAGTCTTTATGAATATACAATGCTTATATAAAATCACTTGGTTAACATATCTCTAAAATAAGTGTTAAAAATTTAATACAACTAATAATTTCTTCAGGTCATATTCACATATGCCCATATTTTTGTTTGTAAATAAAATAAGGTATCACATATCTTTGGCTATAAAAGTGTATTCCTTTATAATAATTCAACTATTTTTTTTTTTTTTTTAGAAAACATTAATACATTTAAATGTTTATACAAGAACTAAAAACGATATAAGTGGATATTTAATGGAATACATCTAAATCAATTTTAAAATGAAATGATTTTGTGGATATGACCTATACAACTTATTAATAATAATTATTTATAACTAAATACAGATTTTAATTATAATAATTTCAATAAAATTATATTTATATTTTTAATTTAGTATCGTAATATGAAGAATTATTTTTTTAACTTGCAACAAAATATCATGATAAAATATAAAATTAATAATATTAAAGTATCAAGAAAAAGTAATAAAGGATTTAAATTGGAAAAAAAATAATGTATTTTAGAGACAAAATAATTGAAATATCAATTCACTTAATCTCATGTAATAATTTGTACAGTAATAAAATATTTAAGATGTATTAAAATAAAAGTATTTGGTTGATAAAATGTAATATGATACTAATAAAAATTGGCATATTATTGATCTCTATTGTAACAGTTAACAGAAGTAAATATACTGTTACAAAACAGATAACAAAAGTAATAKGACATATTATAATATAATATTATATACATGTATATCACAAATGATGTTTTACCCTAATTTACTTATCTGTAGAAATTAAATATCTTAATATGTTTTAAATGTTATCTTTCATCTTGTTAGTAAAATTTATTAATATTAAGCCACTAGACCAGCTTTATGCCTGCATCGTTGCATCAAAGCCCGTAACATAAACTGTTTACGGGAGAGTGAACGAACTTGTTTCAGAAATACTTCTAGATCAATCACACCTCTTCTTAAGGCTTCTCCCATATAATAGATTGCATCTTCAGTTGCAGCTTCTTCAGCAAATGAATTCAATATTCTAATTAACATAAAATAATTAGTAGTTCATCTCAGAATACAAATGTGTATTTATTTACTGTTTATAAAGAGGTGCAGTTGTTGTTACAGCATCGTCAATATCAATATTATCTTCTTTAGATAACTTGGAAATAGCCATTTCAAGTTCTAATTCTTTATCACGCAATACTTGAATGTTTTGTTCTARTTCAGACTAAAAAAATATATTTTAATGAATTAGCAAATTAAAAATTAACACAACACCGGACAATTTTAGTCAGATGAATATTTCTATTTACCTTTTCTTTATTGAGACTAGTCAGAATGGAGTCTAATTTATTTTTTCCGAGTGATAGTTCTCGTTGAGAATGTTGCAATATATCTAATTCGGCTTTATTCTGGGCCATTTGTTCATTAAAGCGTCTCCGTACTTTATCTTCAATAGCAGATAACAAAGAAGCTTTGATATGTTCTTCTGTTATCGTACCACCATCATTTAACTAGGGGTTGTAACAAATGTATAAGTAATAATTATTTATTGTGAGGTACTAAAGTAATGAATGTATAAGCAAAATAAGTGTAGAGGAAAAAAATCTTAAAATCAACATTAACTATGCTATACAACACAGTATATTAGTAGACATTGCATTAAAATATACATAAGCAGTGAAATCTMTACAAATAGAAACTTCTAAAAGGTGGAGCCACTCTTAACAATGGTCGTAGATAATACAAATAGATACTTATTTTCAAATCTATTACACATTAAGGGAAAAAACTATATAATAAAATTGAATTTATTTTTATGTTTCTTTACAATATAATTAATGTTAAATATTTTATAATAAAAATTAACTTGTGTTAATTATTGTCTTATTTTATAAATACAATTATTCAAAATGATGAATTTTTAAAATATAGGTTGTGTAGAAGGAAATACTACTATGGAAACAACAGTGCTATAAATTTATGTAAAATGAATAATAATAAAAAATTAAAAGATATTTCCAAAAATAGTAAAAATATATCATAAAATTTTACTTTAATTTAAATAAATAGAATAACCCAATATACACATTATACAAACAAATATTGTATACAGCATACAGGATCATTTAAAATTGCTCAAAATTTTAGAGTTTAAATTCTTTGTAAGTGTCCACTTTAAAGAGGTTTTACAGTTTACTTTACACAATAGATACAATAAAAATTGTATTTTGTATTTAATCGTGTCTGACTATTTTTATTTTCATATTGATAATCATCTAATAAAGCATTTTTTGATTGACATATGAATAATGCTATAGAGAAGTTATAGGTAATAAATAATTATTATTTTTATATAATTAAAAACATTACAAATAACCATTATTTTAAGATTTTTCCTTTATTTATACTTAGAGGTTCATTCCAAAAAAATAAATAAATTTAAATAAAAAATAAAAAWAATAATCTTACCCCTGTAGAAGGATTAGGCAAATTACTAGTAGCTGATGGGTAAGGAGGATACTCTGGTCTTATTGGTGCAGGTTGCTGAGGATATGGACAGTTTTGAGAAGAATTTTGAGTTGTATATGGTGGAGTATATGGAGGAAAATTTGATGTACTAGCAGAACCTGTTGGATAAGGAGAAGGTGTTGGAAATTGATTATTATATAAAGGATAAGGAGTATTAGAACTTCCATGGTACGCAGTAGTAGGATTTGAAGTAGCAGTAGATGATGTTGGTATTGAAGAATATGGTAACATCACATTTGAACCAGTGCCACCATATGCTAAATTTAAATACATAACAAATCAATAATAATTAATAAAACTATACTCTATTCACATTAAGTAAAGACTTTGGCAGTGACCAATTTTAGTCGGGCGGTGGTCAGACAACACTTGATTGGCCGTGTAGTTAAGCCACACCACTGTGCACAAGTCAATTACCGAGTTTCCTTTTAAATGTAAATGAGGTATAGTCAATTAAAAATTGCATATATCCTATTATTTTTAGTTGTTCATAATATTTATATACTTAGGTTTTATAACCAGACAAAATTAAATTATTTTTCCTGTTTCCTTTTTAAGTTATAAAGTTTTTGAAGTCTTCAATTTAAAAAAATAATAAATTACATGGTTAAACAAAACACTGAACTATTTCAAGCCCAATAATATAAAAAAATTCAACAAGCTTATACTTCTTTGAAAATTTATAAGATATTTGGCTGATAAATAAATTGTGTATCCATAAAATAATTATGAAAGCATGTAGGTACTTATTATAAGTACCTATTTAAATTAGAAAAACTAAAACTAAAAACTGATTAATATTATATTATATACACCCATAGGTAGCTAAGTAGGCATTGTTGGTTTTAAAGCAAATTTAAACAATGTAAAATGCGTAGTTTTTAAAAACATTATTGTCACTACATATATGTTTATTAATGATTTTATCTGAAAATAATTTATATTACCTAACAAATTGAAAGTGCAAGTTTATATTTTCTTCATATTAGTATTTTTTGACGATAATTTTTTTTTAATAATAACTGAGTATATATTTATACTTAATGATGAAATTTTAAAATATAACATTTGACTTAATTTTTATTTTTATTAGCTTCTAGTGTAACTATGATAGCTCAACAATTATTAAAATATAACAAAGATAATTAAAGTATATATTACAAAACAATATTTGTGAACATTGTGATTAAAATGATGAACATTTGATTTTTTTTTTAATGATATAATTTGATATTTATTGAACATATTTGCATACATTTTTTTAGTGTTTTCAAGGTCATAAATATCATAATCATACTAATAGGTAACCAACATTCTATAAATTACACTTACGCATTTGAGTAGGATAACCAGGGTTTACAGGTTGTTCAGTTCTTATAACTGAATATACAGGTGGTGTTTCTGAAAAAGTTGCYGTCATTGTTCCGATTAAATCAAGAAGGTTGGACGTAGTCTAAAATGGTATACCACGTATAATTTAAAATTGGCACAAATTAAATGTAATCATAATTTAATGTAATTACCGGAGTCCAATTGTGTAAATATGGCAAATAAATTTTACCGTTATGATCAACATACATTGACATTTTAATTCGCATATCCAATGTAGGTTTTACATAACAGATTGGTGCATTATTTGGATGTGTATCCATTAGCCAGATACAAATTGGAATGTGATAAGTGGTGCCTTTAAAAGTGAAATAAGATATTTAATTATTTTTATAGCAATATTACAATTAAAAAATTATAAATTAAAATAAGTTGGCAGTTACCTTTAAATGTAACAGGAACAGTACCACTTAAATTAACTAGTTTCTTTTCAATTCTATTTGAAAACACTGTAAAAAAAAATAAGAAATATATTTTATTATAATTTAATACTTTGAAATTCATATGTAAGARTTAGGGGGTCGAACTCAAAAATTCAAAAATATGGTCACAAACTGAACCTATTAATTTAATGTAGATCAGAATGATATGTTCTACATCAAACCAAACCTAAATCAAATATTTTTTGTTTAATACCAAACTGAATTTGAAAAAAAGTTTTGAATTAAATTAGAAATCAAAAATTTTAGTTTTTATGTCAAAACTATGATGTATTCCAATTTTTTTTTTTAGAATCCATACATTTTTTTTGAATTAAAATTAGTTATTAAATTTCAAACTTTTTGTCTGAGTTTGGTTAAATATTTTAAAAACTAGATTCAAATTAAAAACTTTAGAAGTTCAGTTGGATTAAAAGAACTTTAAACAGTTAGACTCACCTCAATTAAGAATTWA